TCCCTCCCCTCCCCCTCCTCTCTCCCCTCCCTCTCCCCCTCCTCCCTCTCCCCTCCTCCCCCCTCTCCCCCTCCCCTCCCCTCCCTCCTCCTCCCTCCCCCCCCTCCCTCCTCCCTCCCCTCTCCTCCTCCCTCTCCTCCCCTCCCCTCTCCCCCCTCCCCCTCCCCCTCCCTCCTCCCCTCTCCCCCTCCTCCCCCCTCTCCTCCCCTCTCCCTCCCCCCCTCCTCCCTCCCCTCCCCTCCCTCTCCCCTCCTCCCCCTCCTCTCCTCTCCCCTCCTCCCTCCCCCTCTCCCCCTCCTCCCCTCCCTCCTCCCCTCCCCCTCCCTCCTCCCCTCCCTCCCCCTCCTCCTCCCTCCCCTCTCCCCCCCCTCCTCCCTCCCTCCCCCTCCCTCCCCTCCCTCTCCCCCTCCTCTCCCCTCTCCCTCCCTCCCCTCCTCCTCCCCCTCTCCCCTCCCTCCTCCTCTCCCCCCCTCCTCCCCTCCTCCCTCCTCCCCCTCCTCCTCCCCTCCCCCTCCTCTCCCTCCCCTCCCCTCTCCTCCCTCTCTCCCCTCTCCCCCTCTCCCTCTCCCCCCTCCTCCCTCCCTCCTCCCTCCTCTCCCCCCTCCCTCCCCCCTCCCCTCCTCCCTCCTCTCCCCCCTCCTCCCCTCTCCTCCTCCCCCCTCTCCCCCTCCTCCCCCCTCCCCCCTCCCCTCCTCCCTCCCCTCCTCTCCTCCCCCTCCCCTCCTCCCCCCCTCTCCCTCTCCTCCCCTCCCCCTCCTCCCTCCTCCCTCTCCCCTCTCCCCCCTCCCCTCCTCCCCTCTCCCCCTCTCCCTCCCCCCTCTCCCCTCCCTCTCCCTCCCCCCCCTCTCCTCCCTCCCCTCCCCTCCTCCTCCCCCTCCTCCCCTCCTCCCTCCCCTCCCTCTCCCTCTCCTCCCCCCTCCCTCCTCTCCCCCCCTCCCCCCTCCCTCTCCTCTCCCCCTCCCTCTCCTCCCTCTCTCCCTCCCCTCCCCCCTCTCCCCCCTCCCCCTCCCTCCCTCCCCCTCCTCCCCCTCTCCCCTCCCCTCCCTCCCCCTCTCCCCCCCCTCCTCCCCTCCCCTCCCCCTCCTCCCTCCCTCCTCCCCTCCCCTCCTCCCCCCTCCCTCCTCTCCCCTCTCCCTCCCCCCCCTCTCTCCCTCTCCCTCCCCCCTCCCTCCTCCCCCTCCTCCCTCCCCTCCCCCCCCCTCTCTCCTCCCCTCCTCCCCCCCCTCTCCCCCTCTCCCTCCCTCCCCTCCTCTTCCTCCCTCTCCTCCCCTCCCCTCCCCCTCCCCCCCTCCTCCCTCCTCTCCTCCCCCTCCTCCCTCCCCCTCTCCTCCCTCCCCTCCTCCCCCTCCCTCCTCCCCCCTCCCCTCCTCTCCCCTCCTCCTCCCCTCCTCTCCTCCCCCTCCTCCCCTCTCCCTCCCCCTCCCCTCCTCCCTCCTCTCCCTCTCTCCCCCCTCCCCCCCTCTCCCCTCCCCCTCCTCCCCCCTCTCCCTCTCCCCTCTCCTCCCTCCCCCTCCCTCCCCTCCCCCTCCTCCCTCCCCTCCCCCTCTCTCCTCCCTCCTCCCCTCCCTCTCCCCCTCCCTCCTCTCCCCTCCTCTCCTCCCCCTCTCCCCTCCCCTCTCCCTCCCCCTCCCCTCCCTCTCCCCTCCTCCCCCCTCCCTCTCCCTCCCTCTCCCCCTCCTCCTCCCTCTCCCTCCTCCCTCCTCCCCTCCTCCCCTCTCCTCCTCCCTCCCCTCCTCCCCTCTCCCTCCTCCCCCTCCCCTCCCCCTCCTCCCCTCCCCTTCCTCCTCCCCTCTCTCCCTCCCCCTCCCCTCCCCCTCCCCCTCCTCTCCCTCCCTCTCCCCTCTCCCCCCTCCTCTCCCTCCCCTCTCCTCCTCCTCCTCTCCCCCCTCCCCTCTCCCTCCCCTCCTCCTCTCCCCTCCCCTCCTCCCTCCCTCTCCCCTCCTCCCTCCTCTCCCCCCCCTCTCCCCTCTCCTCTCCCTCCCTCTCCTCTCCCCTCCTCTCCCCCTCCTCCCTCTCCCCCTCCCTCCCTCCTCCCCCCTCCCCCTCCCTCTCCCTCCCCCTCCCTCCTCTCCCCCCTCCCTCCCCTCTCCTCTCCCCTCCTCCCTCCTCCCCCTCCCCTCCTCCCCCTCCCTCCTCTCCCTCCCCCTCCCTCCCCCTCCTCCCTCTCCCCTCCTCTCCTCCTCCCTCCCCCCTCTCCCTCCTCCTCCCCCCTCCTCTCCCTCTCCCTCTCCCCCTCCCCTCCCCCCTCCTCTCCTCCCTCTCCCTCCCCCTCCTCCCCTCTCCCTCCCCCCCCTCCCCTCTCCCCCCCTCCTCTTCCTCCCCTCCCTCCTCCCCTCCTCCCCTCCCCTCCCCCTCCTCCCCCTCTCTCCCTCCCTCCCTCCCCTCCCTCCTCCTCCCCCTCTCCCCCCTCCTCCCTCCCCCTCCCTCCCCCTCCTCTCCCCCCCTCCTCCCTCTCCCTCTCTCCCCCTCCTCTCCCCTCCTCTCCCCCCCCTCCCCTCCTCCCTCTCCTCTCCCCCCTCCCTCCCCTCCCCCCTCCTCCCTCCCCTCCTTCTCCCCTCCTCCTCCCCCCTCCCCCTCCCCCCTCCTCTCCCCCCTCCTCCCCTCCTCCCTCCTCCCCTCCCTCCCCTCTCCCCTCCCCCCCCTCCCCTCCTCTCTCCTCCTCCCCCTCCCCCCTCCCTCTCCCCCTCCCTCCTCCCTCTCCCCCTCCTCCCTCTCCTCCCCCCCTCCCTCCTCCCCCTCCCTCCCCCTCTCCCTCCCCTCCCCCTCTCCCCTCCTCCCTCCTCCTCCCTCCTCCCCCCCCTCCCTCCCCCCTCCCCTCTCCCCCCCCTCCTCTCCTCCCCTCCCCTCCCTCCTCCTCCCTCCCTCCCCCCTCTCCCCCTCCTCCTCTCCCCCCCCCCTCTCCCCTCTCCTCCCTCTCCCCTCCCTCTCCCTCCCTCCTCCCTCCCTCCTCCCCTCCTCTCTCCCCCCCTCTCCCCTCCCCCCCTCCTCTCCCCTCCCCCCCTCCTCCCCCTCCTCCCCCCTCTCCCCTCTCCTCCCTCCTCCCCTCCTCCCTCTCCCCCCCCCTCCTCTCCCTCTCCCTCCCCCTCCCTCTTCCTCCTCCCTCTCCCCCTCCCTCCCTCCCTTCCCCTCCTCCCTCCCCTCCTCCCCCTCCTCCCCTCCCCCTCCCTCTCCCTCCTCCCTCTCTCCCTCCCCCCCTCTCCTCCCCCTCCCTCCCTCCCCCTCTCCCCTCTCCCTCCTCCCCTCCTCTCCTCCTCCTCCCCTCTCCTCCCCCTCTCCCCCCCTCCCTCTCCCCCCCTCCCTCTCCCCCTCCCCCTCTCCCTCCTCCTCTCTCCCCCTCCTCCCTCTCCCCCTCCTCCCCCTCCTCTCCCTCCTCCCCCCTCTCTCCTCTCCCTCCCCCTCCCTCCCCTCCTCCCCCCTCCTCTCCTCCCTCCCCTCTCCCCCCTCCCCTCCTCCTCCTCCCTCCTCCTCTCCCCCTCTCCCCCTCCCCCCCTCCTCCCTCCTCTCCCCTCCCTCCTCCCCCCTCTCCCTCCCCTCTCCCTCCCTCCCTCCTCCCTCCTCTCCCCTCCCCTCTCCTCCCCCCTCTCCTCCCTCCCCTCTCCCTCCCCTCTCCTCCCTCCTCTCCCCCCCTCCCTCTCCCTCCCCCCTCCCTCCCCCCTCCCCTCCTCTCCTCCCCTCCCTCCTCCCTCCTCCCTCCCCTCTCCTCCCTCTCCCTCCCTCCTCCTCCCCTCTCCTCCCTCCTCCCCCCTCCTCCTCTCCCTCCCCCCCCTCTCCTCCTCCTTCCCTCTCTCCCCTCCTCCTCCCCTCCCCCCTCTCCTCCTCTCCTCCCCTCCTCTCTCCCCCCTCCCCTCCCCCCCTCCCCTCCTCCTCCCCTCCTCCTCTCTCCCTCCCCCTCTCCCCCTCCTCCTCCCCTCCTCCTCCTCCCCCCCCTCCTCTCCCTCCCTCTCCCCTCCTCCCCCTCTCTCCCCTCCTCCCTCCCCTCCTCTCTCCCCCTCCCCTCCCTCCTCCTCCCTCCTCCCCTCTCCCTCCTCCCCTCCTCCTCCCCTCCTCCCTCTCCCCTCCCCTCCTCTCCTCCCCCCTCCCCTCTCCCCCCCTCCTCCCTCTCCTCCTCCCTCCTCTCCCCTCCTCTCCCTCCTCCCCTCTCCTCTCCTCCCCTCCTCCCCCTCTCCCTCCTCCCCTCTCCCTCCTCCTCCCCTCTCCCTCCCTCTCCTCTCCCCCCCTCCCCCTCCCCCTCCTCTCCCCTCCTCTCCTCCCCTCCCTCTCCCCCTCCTCTCCCCCTCCCTCCCCTCCCCCTCCCTCCCCCCCCTCCCCTCCTCTCCCCCCCTCCCTCCCTCCCCTCTCCCCCCTCCCTCCCCCTCCTCCCCTCCTCCCCCCTCCCCTCCCCCTCCCTCCTCCTCTCCTCCCCTCCCCTCCCCCCCCTCCCTCCTCCTCCCCTCCCTCCCCCTCCCCTCCCTCCCCCCCCTCCCCCTCCTCCTCCCTCCTCCTCCCCCTCCCCCCTCCTCTCCCCTCCTCCCTCCTCCCCTCCTCCCCTCTCCCTCCCCCCTCTCCCTCCCTCCCCCTCCTCCTCCCCCTCCCCTCCTCCCTCCCCTCCTCCTCCCCTCCCTCCCTCCTCCCTCCCCCTCCTCCCCCCTCTCCCTCTCCCCCTCCCCCTCCCCTCTCCCCCTCCTCCCCCCTCCCCTCCCTCCTCCCCCTCTCCTCCCCTCCCCTCCTCCCCCTCCCTCCTCTCCCCCCTCCCTCTCCCCCCTCCCCTCTCCCCCCTCCCTCCCTCCCCCCTCTCCCCTCCCTCCCTCCCCCTCCTCCCCCTCCCCTCCTCTCCCCCTCCCTCCTCCCCTCCCCCCTCCTCTCCCCTCCTCCCCTCCCTCCCTCCCTCCTCCCCCCTCCTCCCTCCCCCTCCCTCCCTCCTCCCCCTCCCCTCCCCTCCCCCTCCCTCCCTCCTCCCCCCCCTCTCCCCTCCCCCCCTCCCTCCTCCCTCCCTCCCTCCCCTCCTCCTCCCCCTCCTCCCCTCCCCCTCCTCCCCCCTCCCCTCCCCTCTCTCCCCCTCCCTCCCCTCCTCCCTCCTCTCCCCTCCTCCCCCCCCTCCTCCCCTCCTCCCTCCTCCCTCTCCCCCCTCCCTCCCCTCTCCTCCCCCTCCCTCCTCCTCCCCTCCCTCCCCCCCCTCCTCCCTCCCCCTCCTCCCCCTCCCTCCTCCCTCCTCCCCCCCCCCTCCTCCCCCTCCCCTCTCTCCCTCCCCCTCCCCCCCTCCCCCTCCTCCTCCCCCTCCCTCCCCTCCTCCCCTCCCCCTCCCCTCCCTCCCTCCTCCCCCCTCTCCCCTCCCCCTCCTCCCCCCCTCCCCCCTCCTCCCTCCTCCTCCCCCTCCTCCCTCTCCCCCTCCTCCCCTCCCCCTCCCTCCTCCCCTCCTCTCCCCCCCTCCTCCCTCCCTCCTCCCCTCCCCCCCCTCCCTCCCCCTCCCCTCTCCCTCTCCTCCTCCCCCCCTCCCCCCTCCTCCCTCCCCTCCCCCCCTCCTCCCTCCCTCCCCTCTCCCTCCCCCTCCTCCCCCTCCCTCCCCCCCTCCCCCTCCTCTCCCCCCTCCCCCTCTCCCTCCCTCCCCCCCCTCCTCCCCTCCCCCCTCTCTCCCCTCCCTCCCCTCCCCCTCCTCTCCCCCCCTCCCTCCTCTCCCTCCTCCCCCTCCCTCCTCCCCCCCTCCCCCTCCTCCTCCCCCCCCTCCTCCCTCCCTCTCCCCTCTCCCCCTCCTCCCCTCCCCCCCTCTCCCCTCCTCCCTCCCCCCTCCCCCCCCTCCTCCCTCCCCCCCTCCCCTCCCTCCCCCCCCTCCCTCCCCCCCTCCCCTCCCTCCCCCTCCCTCCCCTCCTCCCTCCCCCCCCTCCCTCCTCCCCTCCTCCCCTCCTCCCCTCCCTCTCCCCCCCTCCCTCTCCCTCCCCCTCTCCCCCTCCTCCTCTCCCCCCTCCTCCCTCCCCCCCCTCCTCCCCTCCCCTCCTCCCTCCCCCCCCTCTCCCTCCCCTCCTCCCCTCCCCCTCCCCTCCCCCCCTCCCCTCCCTCCCCCCTCTCCTCCTCCCCCCCCTCCTCCTCCCCTCCCTCCCCTCCTCCCCCCTCTCCCTCCCCCTCCCTCCCTCCTCCCCCCTCTCCCCCCCCTCCCTCTCCCTCCCCCTCCCCTCCCCCCTCCTCTCCCTCCCCCTCCCCCTCCCCCTCCCTCCCCCCCTCCTCCTCCCCTCCCCTCCTCCCCTCCCCCCCCTCTCCTCCTCCCTCCTCCCTCCCCTCCCCCTCCTCCTCCCCCTCCCTCCCCTCCCTCCCCCCTCCCCTCCTCCCCCCTCCCCTCCTCCCCTCCTCCTCCCCTCCCCTCCCTCCCTCCTCCCCCCCCTCCCCTCCCTCCTCCCCCCTCCCCCCCCTCTCCCTCCCTCCCCTCCTCTCCCCCTCCCCCCTCCCTCCCCTCCTCCCCCCTCCTCTCCCCTCCCCTCCCCTCCTCCCCCCCCCCTCCCCTCCCTCTCCCCCTCCTCCCCTCCCCTCCTCCCCCCCTCTCCCTCCCTCCTCCCCCTCCCTCCTCCCCCCTCCCCTCCCCTCCTCCCCCCTCCCTCCTCCTCCCCTCCCCCCCCCCTCCCCCTCTCCTCCCTCTCCCTCCCCTCCCCTCCTCTCCCCCCCTCCCCTCCCTCCCTCCCTCCCCCCCCTCCTCCCCCCCTCCCCCTCCCTCCCCCTCCCCTCCTCCCCCCTCTCCTCCCCCCTCCCTCCTCCTCCCCCCCTCCCTCCCCCTCCTCTCTCCCTCCCCTCCCTCCCCCCCCTCCCCTCCCTCCCCCTCCCCCCCTCCCTCCCCTCCTCCCTCCTCCCCCTCCCTCTCCCCCCCTCCCCCCTCCTCTCCCCCCCCTCCCTCCTCCCCCCCTCCCCCCCCTCCCTCCCCTCTCCCCCTCTCCCCCCTCCCTCCCTCCCCTCCCCCTCCCTCCCTCCCCCCCCTCCTCCCCCCCCCCTCCCCCTCCTCTCCCCCCCCTCCCCCTCCTCCCCCCTCCCCTCTCCCCCTCCCTCCCCCTCCCCCCTCCCCCCTCCCCCTCCCCTCCTCCCTCCTCCCCTCCCTCCCTCCCCCCTCCCTCCCCCCCTCCCCCCTCTCCTCCCCCCTCCCCCTCCCCTCCCCCTCCTCCCCCCCCTCCCCCCCTCCCCTCTCCCCCCCCTCCCTCCCCCTCCTCCCCTCCCCCTCCTCTCCTCCCCCTCCCCTCCCCCTCCCCCTCCCCCCCTCCCTCTCCCCCTCCCCTCCCCCCCTCCTCCCCCCTCCCTCCTCCCCCCTCCCTCCCCTCCCTCCCCCCCTCCCTCCTCTCCCCTCCCTCCCTCCCTCCCCCCTCCCCCTCCCCCCCTCCTCCTCCCCCTCCCCTCCTCCCCCCTCCCCCTCCCCTCCTCTCCTCCCCTCCCCCTCCTCCCCTCCCCTCTCCTCCCCTCCCCTCCCCCCTCCCCCCCTCCCCTCCTCCCTCCCCCCTCCTCCCTCCCTCCCCTCTCCCCCCTCCCCCTCCTCCCTCCCTCTCCCCCCTCCCTCTCCCCCCCCTCCCCCCTCCCTCCCCCTCCCTCCCCCCCCTCCTCCCTCCCCTCCCCTCTCCCTCCCCCTCCCCTCCTCCTCCCTCCCCCCTCCCCTCCCTCCCCTCCCCTCCCCCTCCTCCCTCCCCTCCTCCCTCCCCCTCCTCCCCCTCTCCTCCCCTCCCCCCTCCCTCCCTCCTCCCCCTCCCCCCCCTCCCTCCCTCCCCCTCCCTCTCCCCCTCCCCTCCCCCCTCCTCCTCCCCTCCCTCCCCCTCCCCTCTCCCCCCCCCCTCCTCCCCCCCTCCCCTCCCCCTCCCCTCCTCCCCCCCCTCCCCCTCCCCTCTCTCCCCCCTCCCCTCCCCCTCCCCCTCCCCCCTCCTCTCCCCCCCCCTCCCCCCCCTCCCTCCCCCCCTCCCCTCCCTCCTCCCCCCCCTCCTCCCCCCCTCCCCCTCCCCCTCCCTCCTCCTCCCCTCCCTCCTCCCCCCCCTCCCCCTCTCCTCCCCCCTCTCCCCTCCCCCTCCCTCCCCCTCCCTCCCCTCTCCCCCCTCCCCTCCCCCTCCTCCCCTCCCTCCCTCCCCCCTCCTCCCTCCCCCCCTCCCCCCCTCTCCCTCTCCTCCCTCCCCTCTCCCCCTCCTCCCTCCCTCCCCCTCCCCTCCCCCTCTCCCCCCCCCTCCTCCCCCTCCTCCCCCTCCCCCTCCCTCCTCTCCCCCCCCTCCCTCTCCCCTCCCCCCCTCCCTCCCCTCCCCTCCCCCTCCCCCTCTCCCTCCCCCCTCCTCCCCCCTCCCCCTCCCCCCTCCTCCCCTCCCTCCCCCTCCTCCCCTCTCCCCCCCCTCCCTCCCCCCCCCCTCCCTCTCCCCCTCCCCTCCCTCCCCTCCCTCCTCTCCCCTCCCCCCCCCCTCTCCCTCCTCCCTCCCCTCCTCCCCCCCTCCCCTCTCCCCCCCCTCCCTCCTCCCCTCCCTCCCCTCCCTCCCCCTCCCTCCCCTCCCCCCCTCCCCCTCCTCCCCCTCCCCCCTCCCTCCCCCTCCTCCCCCCTCCCTCTCCCCCTCCTCCCTCCCTCCTCCTCCCCCCCCTCCTCCCTCTCCCTCCCTCCCTCCCCCTCCCTCCTCCCCCCCTCTCTCCCCCCCTCCCCCCTCCCCTCCTCCCCCTCCCCCCCTCCCCTCCCTCCTCCCCTCCCTCCCCCTCCTCCCTCTCCCCCTCCCCTCCTCCCTCCCCCCTCCTCTCCTCCCCCTCCCTCCCTCCCCCCTCCCCCCCTCCCCTCCCTCCTCCCCCCCTCCCCTCCCCCCCCTCCCTCCTCCCTCCCTCTCCCTCCTCCCTCCCCCCCTCCTCCTCCCCCTCCCCCTCCCTCCCCCTCTCCCCCTCCCCTCCCCTCCCTCCCCCCCTCTCCCTCCCCCTCCTCCCCCCCTCCCCTCCCCCTCCCCTCCCTCCCCCCTCTCCCCCCCCTCCTCTCCCTCCCCCCCCTCCCCTCTCCCCTCCTCCCCTCTCCTCCCCCTCCTCTCCCTCCCCTCCCTCCCTCCCCTCCCCCCCTCCCTCTCCCCCCTCCTCCCCTCCCCTCCTCCCTCCCCCCCTCTCCCCTCCTCCCCTCCCCCCTCCCTCCCCCTCTCCCTCCCCCCCTCCCTCCCCTCTCCCCTCCCCTCCCCCCCCCCTCTCCCCCCCTCCTCTCCCTCCCCCTCCCCTCCCCCCTCCCCCTCCCCCTCCTCCCCTCCCTCCTCCCCCTCTCCCCCCTCCCCTCCCCCCTCCCCTCCTCCCCTCCTCCCCCCCTCCTCTCCCCCCCCCCTCCCCTCCCTCCCCCTCCTCCTCCCTCTCCCCCTCCCTCCCCCCCCTCCTCCCCTCCCCCCCTCCTCTCCCTCCTCCCCCCCCTCCTCCTCCCCTCCCCCCCTCCTCCCCTCCCTCTCCCCCCTCCCCCTCCTCTCCCTCCCCCCCCTCTCCTCCCCCTCCCTCCCTCCCCCTCCCCCCCCCCTCCTCCCCTCCTCCCCTCCCTCTCCCCCTCCCCCCCCCTCTCCCCTCCTCCCCCTCCCCCTCCTCCCCCCCTCCTCTCTCCCCCTCCCCTCCTCCCTCCCCTCCTCTCTCCCCCCCCTCCCCTCCTCCCCCTCTCCCCCCCTCCCCTCCCCTCCCCTCCCCCTCCTCCCCCTCCCTCCTCCCCCTCCCCCTCCCCTCCCCTCTCCCCCCCTCCCTCCCCTCCCCCCTCTCCCTCCTCCCCTCCCTCCCCTCCCTCTCCCCTCCTCTCCCCCCCCCCTCCTCCCCCTCCTCCCTCCCCCCTCCCCCTCCCTCCTCCCCCTCCCCCCCTCCCCTCCTCCCCCTCTCCTCCTCCCCTCCCCCCCCTCCTCCCCTCCCCTCCCCTCCCTCTCCCCCCCTCCCCCTCCCCTCCCCCCTCTCCCCCTCCTCCCCTCCTCCTCCCTCTCCCTCCCCTCCCCCTCCCCTCCTCCCCCCCCCCTCTCCCCCTCCCCTCCCCTCCTCCCCTCTCCCTCCCCCCCTCTCCCCTCCCCTCCCCTCCCTCCCCCTCCTCTCCTCCCCTCCCCTCCCCCCTCCCCCTCTCCCCCCTCCTCTCCCCTCCCTCCCTCCCCTCCCCCCCTCTCCCTCCCCCCCTCCCCTCCCCCCCCTCCTCTCCTCCCCCCTCCCTCCCCCCCTCTCCCTCCTCCCCTCCCCTCCCTCCCCTCTCCTCCCCCCCTCCCCCTCCCCTCCCTCCTCCCCCCCTCCCCCTCCCCCTCCCCCCCTCCCTCCTCCCCTCCTCTCCCCCTCCCCCTCCCTCCCCCCCCTCCCCTCCCCCCCTCTCCCCTCCTCCCTCCCTCTCCCCTCCCCCCCCCTCCCTCCCCTCCCCTCCCTCTCTCCCCCCCTCTCCCCCCCCCCTCCCTCCCCTCCTCCCCCCCCTCCCCTCCTCCCCTCCCTCCCCCTCCCCCTCCCCCCTCTCCCCCTCCCCCTCCTCTCCCTCCTCCCTCCCCCCCCTCCTCCCCCTCTCCCTCCTCCCCTCCCTCCCCCCCTCCCCTCTCCCCCCCCTCCCTCCCCTCCCCTCTCCTCCCCCTCTCCCCCTCCTCCCTCCCCCTCCCCCCCTCCCTCCCCCTCCCCTCCTCCCCCTCCTCCCCTCCCTCCCCCCCTCCCCTCCCCTCTCCCCCCTCCTCTCCCTCCCCTCCCCCCCCTCCTCTCCCCCTCCTCCCTCCCTCCCCTCCCCCCCCTCCCCTCTCCCTCCCCTCCCCCTCTCCCCCCCCTCTCCCTCCCCCCTCCCCTCCCTCCCTCTCCCCTCCCTCCCCTCTCCCCCCCTCCCCCCCCTCCCTCCCTCCCCCTCCTCTCCCCCCTCCCCCTCCCTCCTCTCCCTCCCTCTCCCCCCCCTCCTCCCCCCCTCCCCTCTCCTCCCCTCCTCCTCCCCTCTCCCCCCCTCCTCCCCCCCTCCCTCCTCCTCCCCCTCCCCCCCTCCTCCTCTCCCCCCTCTCCCTCCCCTCCTCCCTCCCCCTCCCTCTCCCCCTCCCCCCCCCCTCTCCTCCCCTCCTCCCCTCCTCCCCCCTCCCCTCCCCTCCTCCCCCTCCCTCTCCCTCCCCCCTCCCCCTCCCTCCCCCTCCTCCCTCCTCCTCCCCCCCCCCTCCCCTCCCTCCTCCCCCCCCCCTCTCCCCCTCCCCCTCCCCCTCCCCCTCCCTCCCCCTCCCCCTCTCCCTCCCCCCCTCTCCTCCCTCCCCCTCCCCTCCTCTCCCCTCCCCTCCTCCCCCCCCTCTCCTCCCCCTCTCCCCCCTCCCCTCCCCTCTCCCCCCTCCCCTCCCTCCCCCCTCCCTCCTCTCCCCCCCCCCTCCCCCCCTCCCTCCTCTCCCCTCCCCCCCTCCTCCCCCTCCCCTCCCCTCCCTCCCTCCCCCCTCCCTCTCCCTCTCCCTCCCCTCCTCCCCTCCTCCCCTCCCTCCTCCCCTCTCCCTCCTCCCCCTCTCCCCCCCTCCTCCCCTCCCTCCCCCTCCCCCCTCTCCCCCTCCTCCCTCTCCCCCCCCCCTCCCTCCTCCCCCCTCCCCTCCTCCCCTCCTCCCTCCCTCCCCCCCTCTCCCTCCCCTCCCCCTCTCCCCCCCCTCCTCCCCCTCCCTCCCCCCTCCCCCTCCTCCCCCCCTCCTCCCCCCTCCCTCTCCCCCTCCTCTCCTCCCCCTCCCTCCCCCTCCCCCCTCCCTCCCCCTCTCCCCTCCCTCCCCTCCCTCCCCCTCCCTCTCCCCCTCCTCCCTCCCTCCTCCCCTCCCTCTCCCCCCCCCCTCCTCCCCTCCTCCTCCCTCCCCCTCCTCCCTCCCTCCCTCTCCCCCTCCTCCCCCCCTCCCTCCTCTCCCCCTCCCCTCCTCTCCCCTCCCCTCTCCTCCCCCTCCTCCCCCCCTCCTTCCCTCCCCTCCCTCCTCCCCTCCCCCTCCCCCCCCTCCCTCCCCCTCCCCCTCCTCCCCCTCCCCTCCTCCCTCCCTCCCCCCCTCCTCCCCCCCTCCTCCCCCTCTCCCCTCTCCCCCTCCTCCCTCCTCTCCCCCCCTCCCCCTCCCCTCCTCCCCCCTCCCTCTCTCCCTCTCCCCTCCCCTCCCTCTCCCCCTCCCCCCTCCCCTCCTCTCCCCCCCCTCCCTCCCCTCCCCTCTCCTCCCCTCCTCCTCCCCCCTCTCCCCCTCCTCCCTCCCTCCTCTCCCTCCCCCTCCCCCCCCTCCTCCCCCCCCTCCTCCCCCTCCCCCCCTCCCCCCCCCCTCCCTCTCCCCCTCCCCTCCCTCCTCCCCTCCTCTCCCCCCCCTCCTCCTCTCCCCCTCCCCTCTCCCCTCCCTCCCTCCCTCCCCTCCTCTCCTCCCCTCCCTCCCCCTCCCTCCTCCCCCCTCCCCCCTCCCCTCCCCCTCCTCCCTCCCCTCTCCCCTCCCTCTCCCCCCTCCCCTCCTCCCCTCTCCCTCCCCCTCCTCCCCCCCTCCCTCCCCTCCTCCTCTCCCCCCTCCTCTCCTCTCCCCCCCTCCCTCCCTCCCTCCCTCCCCCCCTCTCCCCTCCTCCCCTCCCTCCCCCCCCTCTCCCCTCCCCTCCCCTCCTCCCTCCTCCCCCTCCCTCCCCCTCCTCCCCCCCTCTCCCTCCCTCCCCCTCCCTCCCTCTCCCCCCTCCTCCCCCTCCTCCCCCCCTCTCCTCCCCCCTCCTCCCCTCCCCTCCCCCTCCCTCCCTCCCCTCCTCCTCCCCTCTCCCCCTCCCCCCTCCTCCCTCCCCTCTCCCCCTCTCCCCTCCCCCCCCTCCCTCCCTCTCCCCCCTCCTCCCCTCCCTCCTCCCCTCCCTCCCCCCTCCTCTCCCCCTCCTCCCTCTCCCTCCCCTCCCCTCCCTCCTCTCCCCCCTCCTCCCTCTCCTCTCCCCTCTCCTCCCCCTCCTCTCCCTCCCCTCCCCCTCCTCTCCCCTCCTCCCCCTCCTCCCCTCCTCCCCTCCTCTCCCCCTCCTCCCCCTCTCCCTCCTCCCCCTCTCCCCCCCTCCCCCCCTCCTCCTCCCTCCCCCTCTCCTCTCCCCTCTCCTCCTCCTCTCCCCCCCTCCTCCCCTCCTCTCCCTCCCTCCTCCTCCCCTCCCCTCCTCCTCCCTCCTCCCTCCCTCTCCCCTCCCCCCTCCCTCCCTCCTCCTCCCCCCTCTCCTCCCCTCCCCCTCCTCCCTCCCCCCCCCCTCTCCCCTCTCCTCTCCCCCCTCCCCTCCTCTCCCCCTCTCCCTCCTCTCCCCCTCCCTCCTCCTCCCTCCTCCCTCTCCCCCTCTCCCCCCTCCCTCCTCTCCCTCCCCCCCTCCTCTCCCCCCTCCCCTCCTCTCCCCTCCCTCCCTCCCCTCCTCCCCCTCTCCTCTCCCTCCTCCCTCCCCTCCTCCCCCCCTCCTCCCTCCCCCCCCTCCTCCTCCCCTCCCCTCCCCCCTCTCCCTCCCCCTCCTCCCCTCCCCTCCCCCTCTCTCCCCCCTCCCTCCTCCCTCTCCCCTCCCTCCTCTCCTCCCCCCTCCTCCTCCCCTCTCCCTCCCCCTCCCCTCCTCCCCTCTCCTCCCTCCCTCTCCCCTCCCTCCCTCTCCCCCTCCCTCCCCTCCCTCCCCTCTCCCCTCTCCTCCCCCCTCCCCCCTCCCTCTCCCTCCCTCCCTCCTCCCCTCCCTCCCCCTCCTCCTCCCTCCCCTCCTCCCCTCCCTCCTCTCCCTCCCTCCTCCCTCTCCCCTCCTCCCCTCCCCTCTCCCCCTCCCTCCCCTCCCCTCTCCTCCTCCCCCTCCCCTCCTCCCTCCTCTCCTCCCTCCCCCCCTCTCCCCTCCCCTCCCCTCTCCCCTCTCCCTCCTCCCCCTCTCCCTCTCCCCCCTCCTCCTCTCCCCTCCTCCTCCCCCCTCCTCTCCTCCCCTCCCCTCCCCCTCCTCCCCCCCCTCCCTCCTCCCCCTCTCCCCCTCCCTCCTCCCCTCTCCCCCCTCTCCCTCCCCCCCCTCCCTCCTCCTCCCCCTCCCTCCCCCTCTCCCCTCCCTCCCCCTCTCCTCCCTCCCCTCCCTCCTCCCCCCTCCCTCCCCCCTCTCCTCCCCCCTCCCTCCCTCCCTCCCCCCTCTCCTCCCTCCTCTCCTCCCCCTCCCCTCTCCCTCTCCCCCTCCCCCTCCTCCTCTCCCCTCCCCTCCCCCTCCCTCCCCCCTCCCCTCTCCCTCCTCCCTCCTCCCTCTCCCCCCTCCCTCCTCCCCCTCCCCTCCCTCCTCCCCTCCTCCCCTCTCCCCTCCTCTCCCTCCCCCCCCTCTCCTCCCCCCTCCCTCCTCTCCCCCTCCTCCTCTCCCCTCCCTCCCTCTCCCTCCTCCCCTCCTCCTCTCCCTCCCCCCTCCTCCCTCCCCCTCCCTCTCCTCCTCCCTCCCCTCTCCCTCCTCCCTCCTCCCCTCCTCTCCCCCTCCTCTCCCCCTCCCCCCCCTCTCCCCCTCCCTCCCTCCTCCTCCCCCCCCTCCTCTCCCTCCCCCTCCCTCCCCTCTCCTCTCCCCCCCTCCCCTCCTCCCCTCTCCCTCTCCTCCCCTCTCCCTCCCCTCCCTCCTCCCCTCCCCTCTCCTCTCCCCTCTCCTCCCCTCCTCCCTCTCTCCCCCCTCTCCCCCTCCCCTCTCCCCTCCCCCCTCCCCTCCCTCCTCTCCCCCCTCCCTCTCCCTCCTCCCTCCCTCTCCTCCCCCCCTCCTCCTCTCCCTCCCCTCTCCCTCCTCTCCCCTCCTCCCCCCCTCTCCCTCCTCTCCTCCTCCCTCTCTCCTCTCCCCCTCCTCTCTCCCCCTCCCTCCTCCCCCTCCTCCTCCCCCTCTCCTCCTCTCCCCTCCCTCCCTCTCCCTCCCTCCTCTCCCTCCTCTCCTCCCTCTCCCCTCCCCCCTCCTCCCCCCTCCCTCTCCCCTCCTCCCCCTCTCCCCTCCCCCCCTCCCTCCCTCTCCTCCTCCCCT